AGTATTACAAAATGTTCCTAAACATTTCTGCAATAGGGGCCATGAATAATACCTGGCCTGGTTAGCAGAGCCTGGCTGTGCAGTGGAGGCCAGGTTTCACATGGTGGTGTTCTTCAAAACCATGATCACGTCACACATCACTTCTAATGTACTGTGTCTGTTCTTTGCATCCCAGATATCTGGTTTCCAATGAAATAACGTAAAATGGAAATTTGACCAGTAAGAAATTGAAAACCTCCAAATTTGTGCAGAGAGAGAGAGCGCTTGGTTTTGGTTTTCTTGTGTATTTGATTTCACGTTTTATTATGAAAACTGAAGCAATATGCATTTGTTTTCCTTTTTCACACTTGTTTCTGTGATATGACTACCAGCTAGAGTTTCAGTTTAGCCTTTATAGAAAAGCTCTTTCTGTCTCTACCCTGCTGGTATTCGTTCATCTCATCTGTTAACTGCCTTAAACATCTAATTTAGGCTGCAAATGTAAAAATGAGCTGGAAGAGGTTCTGGGCCAAGGACAGAAAAAGGGCGCGCACAGCTGGATTAACAGGGGGGTGCGAGCCTATGTGATGTGATGTGCATGGGAAACTTGTGTAAACCACGTTCACTGGTGTCCACTTATTAGCCGGCAGAGCACCAATAACAACTAATATAAGCCGCATGAGCGTAGCCACGCCTCAGTTAGATAAAAATGTGGTCATGTTAGTAACTATCTCAAAGTACAAAGAGTCAGGAATGGAAACACAGAAAGTGCAAAGGACAGTGTGTGAGTGAAAGGGAAAGAAAAGCAGCACAGACTGGAGCACGGTGGGGTGTGTCTCCCTCGTTTCGCTGCCAAGCCACTGTGTGCATGTATAGTGTGTGTCTGTGCCTGTCAGCGACAGTTGGTTGTTATCGCCACCGACTAAAGCATTATGGGAAATTATGGGTACATTACACAAAGACGGAGCGAGAGAGATAACAGAGAAAATGGGAGGTGGGGTGGCGGGTTTGGAGAGGAGAGAGATGGGGTGTTTATTACGGAAGGATGGACAAAGGAAGGACAATAATATCAGGAAGAATACTGTTCTCAGGGGAAGGTAGGCAAAACCTGCTCTAAAGAAAAGGTGTCAGAAAAAAGTAAATGAAACCGATATTTAAAGGAAAATGTTAAACATAAGAAGAAGGTGACATGAAACAGATGGAGGTAAGTGAACAGAAAGAAAATAGAGGATGAGATGGAGACAAATACTTGAAGAAAAGGTGAAAGAGCATATTCAGAAGTATATACAAAAGGGAAAAGAAAGGAAATGAGATAAACCAGATTAAAAGAAGGAACAGTTATGAAATGAGTGTGAGAAGCTGGAGACTGGTTGATAGGATGATGGATGGGGCAAAAGTAAAGGCTGGTGCACATACAGATGAACGTGCACACAGGAGGACCAGCCTTTTTTTGAACTTCCAACAAAATCCTGCTTTAATCTTTATTTAGATTTAATTTTAATTACTAGTTACTTTTCAGAATCAGATTAACTACACAAATTACAATGTAATGATCTGACTTTATTGATCCCTGGTGGGAAATTCACATAATACTCAGCAATACTTCAAGCGTATAAGGTAAAATGAGCTCCACCTTTACCATCTGCAGCATTAAATGTGATGAAAACAATAACGTGTCAATAATTATAATATATTTAAGTAAAAAAATGAGTACATCTTCCACCACTGAAAAAAGTACGTGTTTCTAAAGTCCTTCATGTGCTGAATCCTTATAAACTCAAACTCGCAGGGCCTGAGCTTTCACACATGTGTGTGTGTGTGTGTGTGTGTGTGTGTTCTCAATAAAATCCAGTGTCAGTACTGCGTCCTTGTCACCTTGATACAGTGAGTGGTACCTTCTATCCTCCTCTCTTAAGTTAAGCCCTCTTACAAACCTGCTTTTGACATTTTTGGGCCGCAGACTTCTGGATGTCCTTGCACGTCTTTGCTGAGATTCTAAAAATGACTTTACTTAGCACAGTCGACTCTGGGCACTTTGAGTATCACAGAGCATATACAATATATCTTGATCATGTCCTAATGGAAGAAAATCAAAGCTATTGGCAATTTAGTTGAAAACTCTATCATTCGTTGACTAAAGTAATAAGAAGAGCAGAGCAGCAAAAATAAAAACTGCACTGGAGATCAAATATTTTGGGTACCTCTATTCAGAGAAATAGGTTCAATCCAGAATACCCTTGTCATCTGTGTAAAAGCGTATTAACTGGTGTCATTAATAATAGCTGGATATCTGTGTTGCCGTGTCCTCTTTCTTTGCAGTTCTGGTTCCAAATCTCCTGGGGAGCCATAACGCTGAATTAAAGCTTCTCTCTGGGATTGCTGAAGTCACTACACAGCCTCTTTGAAATAAGTGACTTCTGTAAAGCCACAGTTATTCGGGTGCACTTATTTTCACCTTTGAACAGTGCAGAGAAGTCTCACTAGCACAATGGAGGCTTCAGGAGGAGCAGAGGGCGCGTTTTTCATGCCTACTGTCCAGATTTATCCTGCGTCACTGCAGAAACTTAACACCCAGAAAAGCTGAAGAAACAGACGTCACGGCACTGGCCACAAGTGATCTCTGGGAACAATTCAAAAACAATCTATTAAAGAAAAATGTTTAAACAGCAATATACAACTTTTTGGAACATCTGAATAGCAAACAAACTGCCATAATTATTATTAGTCTCTCGCCAGGTTTCTTCAAGTCTAGTCCCATATCTTCCTGTAACTGACAATGATGGTCCGTTTTCATTTTCTGTGGCCGTGACCAACAGCGAGCTGCATTCACACTACTACTACTGATGAACAGTGTTCACAATCCAGCTCAGCCATGCCAACGTTAACAAAGATGAAAAGCACCCAAATACTGTGGTACGTAAGGCAAATGAGGTGGCACAGGCACTGGTTTTTCCAAGCATCTCCAGTTACTGAGCTGGACATTTGACTTAGCAACTGTTGTAGTGTTAAAATAAAAATTTGACACGGTAGTATGAAAATGTGTCATTTGCACATCCAAGTAAGAAAACACCACATATCAAACAGGCAGTCAAAGAGCTGTTTCACTTAGATTTCTGTAGTCATGCTCAGAGGGGTTCAGAAAGAGCTGATCTGCCTTCTGTCTCTTCTTCCATCTCCTGTTCTCTTTGTTTCTTCTTACTCAGATCACAGGTAATCTAAACAACCTCTTGTTTCACAGCTCATGAGCAGAACAACGTCAGTAAAGTTCAGGATAGGGCTATGAATTGAATTTGATTTTCTGAAACTGATCCTGCCAGTGGGAATACAGCTGTGCTACAAGAGAGACATCTTTAAAACAAGGGTGGCTCTTATTAACCTGCTACCAGGCCAAGCAGGGTTTGAACGCTGATTTAAAAGGGAACTCCACCAATCTTCTGCCTAAAAGTCTGTTTATGGGTCAGGGCGTATTGCTGCATTTGTTAAAAAAAAAGTCTTTTATGTCTCTCTGCTAATCTCTGCTTGAGGCTAGCAGCTCGAGGCTACATTAGTGGAAACAAACACACACGAACCTCTGACTAAACTGTCACGGTCAAGCTGCATTGTAGGGAATGCAGGTGCCAGATTTTACCAAGGAAAAAGAATCTATGCAATTAAAATAGACAATATATCTGGTTTCAACTGACCACTGTGAGCCCGACAATGCTGTAGGAGTGTAACATTGAGTATATTTTACACCCTAATGACTATGTTTTCTATTTGTCTTTACCAAACTCTTTCTATGGCTTGTTTCAAGATGTGCACCTTTATAAAGCTTTTCCAAGAGTGGAATGGCGCTTCACCATCATGGGGAAAAGATTTAATAAGTGATGAGCTGACTCTTTGCAAAAAAAGGTGTCACAGTTGCACCTCAGGCAACACATGACCTATTATATGAACACCACACACACACACACACACACACACACACACACACACACAAGCAAAACATCAGGAAAATGACTATTTAAACCAGTGTCTGTTCTGTGAATGCATGAATACATGCTGACACACGTGCAAACAGACGGGCTGATGTGTGCTGTGGCCTACAGATACTGTAAATTATGCAAACACACTCCAAAACATACAGAGTAGACACAACGCATGTGAAAATACTGGTCATCAACAGGTCATTCCATACATGTCTTTTGGATAAATAGCCAGACAGAAATAAAGGAAGATGGCGCGCGTGTGTGTGTGTGTGTGTGTGTGTGTGTGTGTGTGCATGTGTGAGAGAGAGACAGAAACACAAGGGAGATACAAATGGAGGGATGGGAGAGGTGGAGAGTTAATTGAGGGGTTCGGTAATGTCAGTCGATCTGTCCAGGCCAAAATCACACAGATATATCCAGATTCGGCTGACAGACAAGTGAATGGAAGGACAACAGAAAGACAACAACCAGAGATGAACAGCAGTCGTTACGAGGGGACAGAGGATGAGCAATACACTGAGGTTGCTTTGTCCATGTGTTTTTTTTCCAGGGAGAAGGAGGAACAGGACAGGACAAACTGATGAAGCCCATTTTGGCCAAACTAATGGACTGGGTAAACCCACAATAAAAGGCACAAAGAAAGGAAGAACTACCTTGCAGATATTATGTAAACTAATACCCATATTTCCACATATTTGCATACTGTAACTACACACAGTGTTAAGTTCAGAATAAGCATTGACCAAAAAGGTACAGGCCAATGCTTTTTATGTCTGCCCTTATCACATTTAACATCTTACTATATTCCAATTTATGCAGACTACATAATCCAAATACATACAAAATGCATCAGCACATACAATACATACAACCAGAACCACCTATATGTGCCTAGGTATATCTCAATACATGCATAAATTATATCTAAACATGTAAACTTACTCTATTTTCAAACATATTCAGCATTAGATGGCAACAGAGTCTGTTTTTTTTGTGAGTTCATTTGCTCTACTTTGAGACCAACCTGTGTGGATGTGTGTGAGTGTCTCTTACCAGGTTGGACCCTCCAGTCCAGTAGAGGAAGAATCCACCTGGGTCAACTTTCAGGGTTACCAGGGTGGGAGGCCCGCTGTTGGGATCCTAGACAACAACACAAATAGGACTGTTACAAGGACAAACACGATAATATCTCTTTTTTTTACTCTCTCTCTTTCTCTCTCTCTCGCACACACACACACACACACACACACACACACACATATATATCCAGTGAGCACTTAAAAGGATAATCAGGTTGCAACAAAATGGGTCATATTTTTGGTGATCATTTACATCATGTTTGATGTAAACACTGTTCTACTCAAAGTGACTGCTAAGACCTGGGAACGCGACAACACTGCTACAGCAGGGACAGATGAAGGAAGGAACTGACAATGAATGATATAGTCTGGTAACAGTCATGAGTGAGCACACCTTTCCCTTTGTGTTCTCTTGCAAATATGAGCCTGTCTGATTGTCTGACTGCTTATGGTTCTTGACCAGTCTGACTACTTTTTTTTTTTTTTTTTTTTTTAAGCATTGTTGCAGTTCCCCACTGTGAAGCAAAGAACTTGGTGAATACCAAGTGCAGGCATCTTCCATTTCTAATCATGACTACTGCTCTAATGTGAGAGAGAAATCCATATTTTAAATTATAATTTGCCACAGTGTTTATATATGTAAATAGAAGCTCTTTTGAATGCATGTAAATGTATCTTCTTGTTACCTTACAAAAGCACATTGAGAGCCTCTGTACCAAAGAATATACTAGAATAATCAGACTTTATTGATCCCCGGTGGGAAATTCACAAGCTACCCAGCAATGTGTAAAGTACTTCAAAGTGTAAGCCTATAAGGTAGTTAACATACTGTAAGCTCCACCATTACCAGCTGCAACATTAAATGTGATGCAAGGAATAACAGACCAATAATATGCTATACATTAATGTGAACTATGTCATTCTGCACAATGAGTATTTGCACTTTAAGTACTTTATCTTCATACTTTTACTTAAGTAATAATTTAAATGCAGGACTTTTACTTGTAACAGAGAATAAAATTGATGAGGTATCATCAAATCAATGTGCTGCTGTATTTTTCTCAATATAATACAGGACACAGGTGAGTTACAAATCACTATTTTCAGTTTTGATTTTACATACTGTTCCAACTTTTTCTGATTTGGGGTTGTATTGGAATGAATGGGATTATAGACAGAAAAACAGGAATAATGCTTGTTGTGTAGATGTCGTGTAACAGATGTTTTGATGCTAGAAACCAAAGAGTTCTGGCCATTGTGAAGATCTCACTCAGGCGCAGCATAACGATTACACGGGAACCCGCATCAATGTGTCACTAGCAGCATCATTATGGGGTCATATGCAAGATTCCATGAGTGCACACACAGCTACTGGCTCTGTAATTAAAGTGGTGAGCAGTCATACTTGGGTCCAGCAGAAATCCTGCGAAACAGCAATGATGAAGCACATGGTTATTAGTGACAGATGACTCATATACACGTTGTCATGAGCATCATTGTTGGCATCGACCCAAAGAAAACCTTCCCGCCAACATACTATCAGAGGAAATAGGTTTACAAGAACGCTCACCACTGACCACATACATAAAGCATTTTTTAATGCAGGGTAGAAGAAATACAGTGGTTACCAAATGATTTGAACAAAGTCAATGTATAAATGGTCAGAGTTTCATGTTTACCACATAATGTACAAGCATGGTATGAAAAGTTTGTTGAACAACCATCCAACAGTGAAGTTATGCATAACAAACAATCATAGTACACATTACCTGAAGCAAATAAATTTCACAGTGACCTCAGTGAAATTTTATAGGACTCCTTAATGGGTGATTTAATAATACTCAGAATAATTGCCTCATAAATTTTGGGACAGTTAATCAGCTCTAATAAAATTGTTATTTAAAACTGTTATAAAACATGCACAGAAAACCAATTAAAAATAAAAATACATTTGGGGAAACAAAGCTAATTGTTTTACTGATACGCTAATCAAAATTTGTCTAAGACAGACAATGAATACTTTGTATTTAGTTTTATAACATAGTTAAAATTTCAGTCTTAGCCAGATTTTTGTTTAATGAAATTACATTTCATTTATTATTTGACGTTAAGTGCATCAGAGTGAAGAGATTTATGTCTATGTTAAACACAAAGGTACAGCTAGCAGACAGCTAGCAAAGCTTAGCATAAAGACTGAAAACAGGGAGGAATGTTAGCCTGCTTCTGCTCACAGTTAAAATTTACTTACCAGCACCTCTAAACCTCGCTTAACACATTTAGAGTCCTTGGTTTAATCTATACACAAAAACAACAACTTGTGGTTTTGGAAGTCAAAGCTACAAAAGCCAAGAAACAGTCTGGCCTATAACTTCAACTTGTGATACCAACGCCATACCTCAACTTGTTGTTTTTGTTTTTCTCGTCAGTTTATGTTCAGCTTAAACAAACATGATGTGTTTATTAGTAAGCTTTAGAGGTGCTGGTAGGTGGCTTTTTAACCTCTGGACAGACCCACACTAGCTGCGTCCCTCTGCTTAATGCTAAGCTAAAGAGATCTCATGCCAAGTTTCTCATTTTGCTAGCTCCTGGCAAATAAGCAAAAAATATATTAAACATTTGCTTAAACATGTCTATTTTAATGGGAAATGTAATTTTTTTACAGAGGTTTAGGCTAAACATACCTTGAGTTTAGGCTCCAAAGTTGGCTAGGAGGAGGTAGATGTTCAGATTAGGAGAAGGACAGAAGGAAGAGAGTTAGTTACAGAAATGATAAGAGAGGGGTTAGAAGAAGGTTTAGAGGTTGAAAAAGAAATTAAAAGGGCCAGGAATAAAATCAAAGCCTTGTGTCCAACCACAGCACGAAACCTTAAAAAAGAGACTACTTTGATGCACGACATGTCCCCGTGAAGCACCAAACAGAAAGTTACCAGGACTTGTTGCTAAACTTTCAAACCCATCAAATGTGCAGCTGACTGTGCACTAACCTGTGTTTTCTCACAGGAAACACTGGAAAACTCCAATTTCATGCTGCGATTGTCATCTTGATAAAAGAAAAGGCCAGTCTTTTTCTATAAACAGTATTTTCAACACTCCCATTCAGAGACTAAAGCAGTGAATTGCCTTTACTCGGGGTTAATGTCTGTCAGTCAGCCATTGATTTTTACAGAATCTGAAGTAAGCAAGAATTAACAGCGCATGTGTGAGACCTCCGTGAAAGCACGAGGAGCTAGTGGCCCGTAAACAAAGCACAGAGATGTTCACTGTTGGTTTTAGTGTGTATCCAGTATTGTTGAAATTTTTATTAATAACATATAAAATGACCAACCTTATCCTTTAAGGCTCTGACCTGATGTCAGATGTTTACAGTTGATGATTCAGCGCTTCATATGTCAGCGCTGAGCCGTTCTTTAGCTTGCAGTGAAGCCTGACCTTGCAAACTTGTAGCCATAAAGCTTGTTTACCATTTGTGTGCTAGGTTTGATTCTCCAAGACAACACAATCGAACACAACACAAACTGCAAACAGTCTAGATGTTGCCACTTCCAAAGCACTAAAATCTAAAGCATTTCCATCCTTTTCAGCGGAGACAGCTGTGTTTTCTATTAAATACATAAACACCAAAATATTTGCAAATCAAAATGCCTGTGTTGGTTGATGCAAACAAATGAGCCATCTGTTTAAAATTGTAAGTAATCTTTGTTGTAAATGATCAACATCTACAAAAAGCATGGGCCACATGCTCCGTGGGCAAATGTGACTTTAATTCATTTTAGAGCATGCGCAACTTCACTTAAAAAGAAGTTAAACAGATTTAAGGTTTTTTCAAACTATTTTCCATTAATCTTCACTACCTTTAATTAAAAAAATATGATGGTTGGAAGTGGAACCTTATGGACACATCACATGAATTTTTTAGTTGGTTCATTGTCCATCACCTTTGCTAAGTAACGTTAAAATATTCTCTTACCACAAACAATAGTCATTTGTTAAGTAGAACTGAGTAACATGCACGCACACAGTGTAAAACTACAGCACGATTGCTACATGCAATCACTATAGTCAAAAAGAGAAATAGCATGAGGGAAAGAAGAACATCAAGGGAAGGGGGTCATGCTCAGCAGGCACGATCCGAGGAAATACAAATATGACCTTGGACTCTGTTAACTGGGATACTGAATACATTATCAGTCTGAGTGTGACAAAGCAAGACACCTCTTTGTTAATGTATATATTGCAGGGTTATAAACAGCATGGTCACCATAGTATTTAGGTCCTAATCACATTTTAATCTTAGTCTTAACCTGACCCTAACCTCATCCTAACCCAAAACCATGTTGCCACCCTAAAATTCAGCGATGTCCTTGTGGGGACTAGCTTCTGGTCCCCGCAAGGATGGCCGAGTCCCCACAGTGTGAGCGTGTGAACAGGTTTCAGTCCTCATGATGCAAATAATACAAAGACACACACACACACACACACACACACACACACACACACACACACGCTATTGCCATCAGATATATTTGCATGTTGTGCCTGCTGAGTTTTACATAGTTGCCAGTTGCTTTCTAGAGCTGCCTTTAACCGTGACACACAGCTGTCTGCTATACTCAAATCTGTCTGGCTTTCCCTTCTGTTTCAGAACTCATTTTTTGTCTTTTGCGCAGTTATTTTTGATAATTGATTAGTCATTTAGACCAAGCAAAAATTCTTGCTGGTTCCAGCATCTCAAGTGAGAGGACTGGCTGATTTTCCGTGCTCTATAATCACTGTCAGTTTGACTTGTCAGTTGTTGGTTAGACAAAATCAGTAACTACTCTGAAAAGGTGTGTTTCATAGCACAAAGGCTCAACCTGAAAATAAGTGTTAGATCCCAAACCAGGAAATCACACACACACACACACACACACACACACACAAACACCTTGTTTATCATAAACATGCACCCTATGGTGTGTTTTCTATGCAAGAGTGGGTGGTACATCTATAATTGGACCTCATCACACTCCCTAATTAGCCACCATATTTAGAAACCTTCTGAAGTCTCACCTCTTCCTCCCT